ATATATATATATATATATTTGTGTGTGTGCGTTTTGTTGTGTGAGAGATAAATAGCGATCTTCTCATATATGTATAATGATTTTATGATAAATTTTTTACATGTAACAGTAATGTTAGGTCATATAATAATATATTTATCATATTTACATGATTATCGTACTTCTCTTGTATATAGATCGTAGATAATAACGTTTAACGTGGCATATTTCAGGTCACGCAATTTTCAGTCAACCTATGGTATATTTATGAGAGAAGGTGACTGCGTGTCACGTAGCCGTTTTCTTTAGCGGTTGAGTCGTTCCCTTAGTCCTTGAATGGAATTCTCTTTTATTTGAAAATCAATTTATCTGCAAATGCAGAAAATTGCGAAAATTGTGATCGCTCCTTCATTTCGGCAACACATTTTCCTCGATCGTTGTATCGTTGAGAGCAACGTATATTTCTTTATTTATTATTATACGGCGGAAAAACGTTAGGATGAAACGTTCCTTCATTGAGAGTCAACACGTATAATTGAAACTTAATGAATGTTGTGTGAGAATATAGTGTTTACATTTGACATTATCACCTGTTTAATGAATGAACGACATTCTTATTACTGCAATGATTATTACAGTTTTAGATACTGGCGCAATACTAGCAAACTACTGGTCAAGTTACTAGATAATAACTTGAACTCCATACTGGCAGATGGTACTAGTCCATTTTAGTCATTTATCAGTGATGGCCCAGTACTAGCTAATAGAACTTCAACCGTCATTTAACAACCAGTCATTTGCCAGTGATGGCTCAGTACTGGTTGACAGAACTTTGATCAGTTGACAATTGTAACGGTGGCTAAGCGTCGGTTTTGTTGTAACTGCTGACAATCCTATATGGGTTTCTGGCTGTGCGATTGATTCGTTAAATATAATACACAGATACATTTGGCGCAAATATTTGGGTCGTCCGGTCGATTAAGGAAGGGCAGTTTTCGGCAGTAGATTCGGATTTGCCAGAGGCAATGCGAGATATTCTGCGCATTACGAGAAATCGTACCATTTCGACACCCGAAAGAAGAAGAAATATTCTGCGATAAAACAAGAAAAAAATTTGTGCTAGAGTAGAGCAATAAATTCTGTAACTTATTGTTATGCACGAAATTGTCCATGCTCTCGTGGGGAAAGCGTAGTAAACAGAAACGTGCGCAGCAGAGTTTGAGGCTTCTCTTTCTTCTCCGTTTCATTTTTTTCTTTTTTTTTCAAAATGTCCTACTTTCTGGGTAATATTTATAGCGATATAAAGCAGCGCAAGTTTCGGAGCCAAATCGAGCACGAACTCGACTCTCGAACTGCTTTTTATCCAACTGTAACTTTTGCTCGCGACCCAACTGCCCTTCTATCGAAGAACCCTTTTTGAGTCCCTTTCTATTCCATTCCTCTGTTATCCTTCCTCCTTTCTTCTCTTTTTCAATGTGTACGTTCGCCTTTTCGCTTGGCTCTTCACTGGATCTCACGGACCCGGGAAGAACATCGAGATATTTGAACTTTCACGCCACGTAAGCGATCTGATATAAAAGTTTATTTGTAAACTCTCGGCCTCTCCTACCGAAAACCACTTTCAGCCATTCGGTATAATCCTTACATAGCCGTCACAATGAACGATCGGAGAATGAAATGTAGAGCTTAAGACACACTCTGTATACAGAGTAATAAATTTGCGTTGAAGAGAGAGATGGGTGCTTATTTCAGGCGTTTCCCAAGCGCCTGATTTATCTAAGCAACTTGGATATAAGGATATACGTCGTATTACGTCCCTCGGGAGAACAGGTGTTGAGAATAATTTCACCCCTGGCCGATTTTCTCGTTCCGGCAACCGCCCATTCTTTTTACGTTGCGCGAAAAGTACATAGAGACAATGCCAAATAGATGTTGAGCAAGAGAAGCTTCGGGCTAAGTTTACCGTGCTACGTTTTACGCGGTCTCTCCACACCGTGTAGAAATTGCATCTGCATCGAAGAGATGCGAATAAATCCTTCGGAAATCTCATGTCTCTCGCAGCTGCAAGAAATTATTAAAACATTTCGGGCGAAGCTGTGCATGTGTATACCTTTCGATATCTACCGGTAAATCGCGTCAAACTCGGACGCAAGCTTAATCCGCCGCGAGATTTCACGCGATCAATACCATACCATGTTCCTTGTCGAATTGTCGAATGGCACGTCGTCATTTTTCACGTCCTGCAAAGCGACAGGCACCTGAATGCAAATCGCTTTCGTTGCATTTACTATCCGTATCTCTTTGCGTTCGCGCCTTCCAGCGGTCTTATACACAGCGAAGAAAAAAAAAAAAGAAAAAAGAAACTGTCACCCGATAAGAATGTCGAGTCGTTGAGGCTTGTAAAATACGATTGAGACCCGAACCTGTCGAGATCCTCCTGAAGAGGATAGAATACTGCTTATTTTTCATTCTGTTAGATATATTGTCCCTTACGCACTGCGGTTTTGTTTTTCCAGCAAATTTGAGCGGAGGGGAAGAGAGGTATTCTTATAGCATAATGTCGATCAAACACGAATATCTAAATAGCTCAATAATTAAAGCTGTTCTTCCAAAAATTTATTATTCATTCAGCATATTTTATTTTATCACTAATTAAGCTAAATTATCATTAATTAAAAAATTGATCAATTTTGTCTTTTATCTGTTGTAGCATGATGTCTGTCTGGATGAAGTTTACCAATATTGAACAACATGATCATCTTCGATGGATTTAGATATAAACTTTAGAACGTAAGTAATGCTTTATAAACAGTTTCCTTTTTTAATTTTCCGGGAGTTGCGTAAGTTAATAGTAGAATCAATTCTGTCAATGGAGTTATGAACTATCTTAAAAAACACTTCCGAAAATTTTGAGGCGACAGCAGAATCTTATTACGAATATATACTTTATATACGCTTATATTATAAATATAAGCGTATATGTTTATATTATAAATATAGCGTATATGTATTATATTATAAATATAAGCATGTTTGTATAATATAAGCGTATATGTTTTTCTGCTATGAGTAAAAATAAATTTTGTATTTCTACAATTATTGTAATCGATAGATAGATTTTTAGTTCATTGGAGCGAATTGATCTTGTTTGAATTTTTCTATTGAGACAACAGTCATTTCTAAATTAAATACGAGGAAAATGAAGTAATTCGCATGAATTAAGTTTCCAAAATACAATAATAAAATAAGATTTGGAATGAAAACTGACTTCGAGTTTTTTAGAATGTTACATTTAATATGTGACATTTAAAAAATATATTGCAAGTAATAATAAGATTATTAAATATAAAAAAGAATGTTCATTCACAAAGCTATATATAGATACTAAGAAAATCTGTACAGATTAACGTATGGCTTTCTCTTTCAAATTTACACTCTCAGAAGCTAAAATTATCAATTTCAACTTTTGATAAATTTCTTATTTAATTTTAATATAATAACATATAATTAATATGTAGCAATTTCAAGAAGTTTCTCTCCTTTTTATTTTATATAATTAATCATTTTGATTTTTAATTCATATATAATGAATTAAAAGCCAAATAATACGGCTATTTGTATAATGCTATAATTGTCATTTTTCGATATGCTGCAGTGGCAAGTACAATATTTTAAAACGCAGCCTTATCTTGTTGAATTTAACTGTCGTCTTTTCACAACGATATCAGACAGCGACGTACGCTATCAACTCGCTTGGTAAAGCAAACGAAAATGTGATTTTGGTACTCCACGGCTACGGATAGTAAATCACGTATCGTGGTTGTCGATGTGCTTCCTCCGCTTTTGCCTAATCTAATCTACATGTTTGCTCAATATTCTCACGCACGCGTATCCTCTCGTCACATTTTCATCATTATTTCACGTGATTTTCCCGCCACCACAAAACTACGGCGACGATTTTCAAAGGTGATAATACCTTTCATCCGCATCTAAGTTTGCCGTCGCAAACCCACTGCTCTATATTTCTTATGTTTTCGCATTTTCTCTCTGGAACTTATAAGAAGAAGTTTTTGCAGCTTTATCGAAAGAATGGCGAAACGTCATTCCTCCCGACATGGAACTTTTTATTCTTTCACATTTCCGCGACTGCGACAAGCCGACGCGCAACGCGACGCGCGTCGGTCGCATCGCATAGCAATCTCTAAAAACCTGAAGAGAAGTTTTAAGCTGTTCTTTCACTGTCCTCATACCCGACATGCTGCGGTCATTAATTTTTATAACTCTCACCGGCAAAGAAACGAAATTCAACGACTTTAATTCACCGTTTGCATAATGTCGCAACAGGATAAGCTGATAGAACTACAACGAATCTTTTGAAAAATAAATGCGAAATACAAGCTTAATACTTCAGGACTAAATTCAATTATTGTTACTCTCTTTTCCATCCTTTCCGCCGCGAGCAACGAGGACAATTTTTTGTCCTCCTATGAATTCTTTAAATGATACGGTAGAGTACGTGGGAGGTACAAGGTAAAATTTATATTGCGACACGAGCAGCAATGCGGGATGTAAACCACATGCTGGTCTCGCTCCTGCTCGCTTCTAATCTAGTGGTGAGGAAAAAAGAGTTACACATTGAACATGCAAATATATTGAACAAATATCTATTAAATGGAAAAAGATTTTCATTCTAAAGCCTACTATAGACAATCTATAATTCGCGATCAAATTTAGAATCGAATTCTATTTACAATTTTGCTTAATAACTTTTATTTTTGGTTTATTTTAAAATATTATTCTTTATAAAATACTTTTCTTATCTTTTTTGTCTAAAGTCCACTTTACACTATTTATATGATTTCTATAGAAAACATATATTAGTGATATATATTTTAGTGATATATATGTATGTATTTTATTTATTTCAATATTTTTTATGTACACGACACGCAAAATTATAAACAGAATTCTATTCCGAATTATTTTATAAAGAACAACAATATTTTGAGGTAAAAACAAAAGTAAAAGTTATTAAGTAAAAAGCTTGAATACAAAGTGTATCTAAGAAAACAAAGAATACAAATGTCCATAAAGGTAATTTAATTGCTCAGAAAGAACATTAAAGTTAAAAATTTTACTCAAGTTACATAATCCATTAGAATAATCCAACAGGTATTAGTGTAACTCAACCTAAAGGTATGCCACATTTAAATTACAATTCTCGGATGCGCAGTAAGTCGGAAATATTTATTGTTATTTTGTCGGAAGGTTGCTATTTGATACAATTGAAATTGGATAAATAAAGATACAGTAAATCCTTTAAAACCTAAGTTAGAAAGAAAGCAGCACACATATCGATATAAGCTATAACGTAAAATTTTTCCTCAATCTTCAATTAGTGAAAAGGAGAAACTTCAAAGATAAAGAGAGAAATATAATTAATCCTTTTTATTTTTAAGAATATAATTATTACTTTATTGCACATCTATTTTAATTCTTAATAAATAATTTACAGTATAAAGAAAATTCTATAAATTAAATTATTCGATATTTAATGAATCATGATATATTTTTCATTTTTCAAATATCTCTTTTATATTGAATATGTGACATTAATGATAGCGGAATATGAAACAAAGATGTTTCTCTTTGCTATCTCGTGATTTGCTAACTTACAGAAAGTTAATTCGCTACCTTCCATCTTTCTCAGTTCTAGCTTCTCCTCTAATTATTGCGCAGCAAACAAATTCGAATTACCCTAAATGACTACGAGCACTAATTCGAAGTTGGAACGTACACACTAAGATGGCTGAAAAGTTTAATTACATTTGTCACAGTAGAAAATAGGTTGTTTACGTAAAGACAAGAAGACGTCGATCATTGTTACACACTGCGTTAGTATGTAGTATGCTTACAACATTTATTACTACGCTCTGCGCGATAGTTTTGCTTGAAACAGGAATTACCATTAATTTCAAACCGATTGTTTTGAATAAGATGAATTTTTATCGTAAATAATTTCATTTAAGAAATAACCGAGGCATTAATCATTCGTTTGGCTTTATCGCATACATAAATTAAGTGTATGGATGTACGTTTACTTTTATTCAATGATTGCAGTTCATGCGTGTTATCAATCGATTCGTAAATCAGCGGGAAAGGAAATGCCAAATATATTTCGGCTAGACTAATATTGCACATTTCTCAATCGAAAACGAAATTGCATCGTGTAAAATCACTCAGTTACCAAAATGAAAGCGTACGACAGAATTTATTACGCGACCCACATGGCCGACGCTTCGAGCATGTGATATGTTCATCAATTTTGATTATTTTTCCAACGACGTGGAATGAAATGTTCGCCTATGTATGAAAATATAAATATATTTATTTATTTTTATAGAGTTCAAAACATACAAAATGCAACAAAACGTACAAAATACAACAAATACTTTTATGTATAAATTTTCTTTTGGCAAGAATTTTGTAAAAATTTTGCGAAACTATTTGTTATAGAATTAATCAACACAGCGCAACGGTTAAATAATATTTGCGACGGAAGATCATCAGATTGTATGATTTTTTAAATGAGCTATACATCAGCGGATATCTAATTTCAAGTTTAATTGTCAAGATTGTACAGATCATAATCGCCTATTAAATCTTTGCTCGACGAGAAATCGATTTCAAATTCATCAAAAAATTTATGACCGAAGGAACACACGGTAAATCTGGGTCACTCCGTATGTGCCACTGGAACGTGTAGGAAATGCATTCACGGCTTTGCAGTTCCCAGCTCTTTAAACGTTGTTAAATCTAGCAAAGGCAATCTTAATTGGAGCGACATTAAATGCTCGCGTGTATAGGGCTGATGATTCAAATTACCTTTATTAATAAAAGCTCCATGATTCTGCATCTTCAATTCTCCGCTGTCCGTAACACACGCGTAATAATGACTTTCATTTTTTCTCATGGCAAGAATCAGCAGCAGATGTAATTTGTCGAGATAACTCTCGGAGATTATCCGTCGATTAATCAATCGTGATTAATACTAACGGTCGGGCAATATTTATTCCCAGTGTAGATCTCGGTGTGTTGAGGGGGATGGAAAAAAAATGTGCCGAGGCAGACGGGCGCCAAGCAGAATTAGATTTAGAGTGCCAGTCATTCTTGCTTTCACGTTTTTACGCACGATGCAGCATGTTGTTCTATCGTGAGACTTGCCTCAGGTTGCTGCAAAGGCAACAGGGAAAATGGCATACAATAGGGCTCGTGCATCGAGCTTCCTAAACGCGAACACGCGAATAGCCATGCTGCGGTCCAATTGACACGCACAAAACCCATTTAATAGATGGTGGAAACGTCACTACGTCGGGATTAGTAACACGTGACGTATACACACGGTTGCCTCGCTGGGGAATTAAACTGATGAACATCTCTGTACATTATCCTAATCAAATAATCAGATTATCAGTTCTCGCTCAAGGTGATTATTAAGAAGACGTGAATTCGGTAAGATTTGAGATCTGTTGTATAACTTGTCAGACAAAGCTTTTTTTACAATTGTCGTTTATGGCGCGTCATAGATGTAATAAGAATAGATTGCATGTTTTTACGACGACATTGTTACTATCGGTTTAGAAAGAATAATGTAGTTTCAATCATATTACTCCTTTTTTTTTGAAAAGAGAGTTAAAGAGATCTTTCTAATAAAGTGTAGGAGATCGATTGTGTATCTTGAAACGAATAAAAAGTTACAAAAGTGAAAAAATGAATTTAGAATATTTATA